TCTCTCCTTATCCCTTACTCTTCATGTCCTCCCTACCACTTACACTTAACATCTAATACTAACACCATCCCTACTTATTCTTCTTACCATTCCTTTCTTACCTCTTATTACTCATGTTATCTATATTACCCTATTACTACTCACATTACTTCCTTACCTTCTTATTACCTATATTACCCTATTCCTATTCATATTACCTATATTACCCTATTCCTATTCATATTACTTAACTACCTTATTCCTTATTACCTACCTCACTTTCTTTCCTCACTTATTATTCTTCCTTATCTTTCTATCTGTTCCTTACTTATCTATTACTATATTTATTCTTCCTTTATCACTTACTTAACCTCCCTTATCTTTATCACTTATTTATTAGTCTCCATTCATATTCCTTACCTTATTCATTGTCTCTTACTCATTACCTACCCTATCTTTACCCATCATCTCTTACCTATTAGTTCCCACTGCCTATATTACCCTATTCTCTCTTATATTCCTTACTTACTATTATATTTATTATCACCTCCCTTCCTTATAATCCTTACCTTACTTAGTGCTTATTTATTATATTTATATATATTTCCCTATTATCACTTATACTTCTCAATCCCCTTAATATCACTCCTTACTTTCCTCACTTATTATCTTTCCTTTCTTTCTATCTCTTACTTATTTACCTATAGTCTGCTAAGTTATCTTAGTACTTAATCCCTTTACTCAGTCCTTCTTTATACTTCCTTACTATTACTATATTCTCTATTCCTTTTATTACTTATATACTATAATCCCTTTACTCAGTCCTTCTTTATACTTCCTTACTATTACTATATTCTCTATTCCTTTTATTACTTATACTACTTACCTTTACTCTTAGTTAGTCTGTCTTTTTACTCTTATTAGTATTCCTTATTCCTTACTTATTATTCTATTTATTTGTTCCCTTACTTATTACTTACCTTACTATCTCTTACCTACCTTACTATTATTCATATTACCTACATTACCTTATTTATTACTCATATTCCTTCCTTACCTTATTACTACTCATATCACTCTTATTACCTACATTACTTTATTATTACTCTTATTACCTACATTACC